ACATCTCAATCACAAAGCCCCAAAGAATATATAAAACTCTACGTATAATTTTGTGGCATCTGTTATCACCTGCTGTATCTCAAGGACTACCTGTATATATTGTACAGCGTCACTTGGGGCCATGTGAATCTATTTTTAGAAGATAAAAAAATAGTGAATTAGCTGGATGGTGACTAAAATTTTTTTCAGAGGTATATTCGTTTGGGACAGAAAAAGACAAAAATGAGTGGAATTGGTTTAGAGAACAAAATGTTATCTTAGAATACTGCACTTATCACAGATGGCCTAATGCAACTTCTAGGTTCATGCCTTGGTGTGCTGGACCCCAATTAAGCAACTGTGACAAGGAAAATAATTTAATTTACTATTTTATTTCAAAACTTTCCATTAAAAAGGATTCCCTAAGAGAAAGGAACCTGGGACAAAAGCTTAACATTTACTTTTTATGCTATGCACAACAAAGAAACTTTAAAGTAAAAGTTGATTGGATTAGGAAAATTCATCTGTCCAGTTACCTCATGAAACATTAGACATCCAATAATATGTAAGAGTAAGGAATGAAAGGAGCTTTGCATTCTTAATAAAAAATAAAAGAAACATTTACGTGGGAAAAATGTAAAGATACATTCATTGTGCTTTCCCAGCGCTGGGCTCAAATGTTTCAAACTATATCTGACTTCTTAAAAAAAATCCATGGACAATGTCCCTAATATTGGACTTACTCAGGAACTGAGTGATAGAACCTTATTTTCATACAGACAACCACCCAATTTGAAGTAGATTCTCACAACATGACAGTGATGTTTATATGAAAAATAGATCTCTATAATTGTAGAAGTTTACTTTCCCTGCAACATATGCAGATGTCTATTTTGCCAACAGTATCATCACAGGCCCAACAAATACAAACGTAAGATTAGAGGTACTTTTACATACTCTTCCTCCAATGTGATACAGATAGTCCTTACGTATGACATGCAAATTCTGGTGGTAGTTAAGGAAAGTGTCCACACAATCATTTCACTTAACAATTCCAACCCCCACTTCATGACCCCACATTGTGATTTGCACAAGGAGATTTGTGATTTTCCACAAGGAGATTTGGTGCTATACCTGTACAATATGGAGGTGGGACTCATGAATCCCTTTGTTTAGCGCTGTCATAATTTTGAACAGTTGTAAACTGTTCAAACTATCTACATGCAATAATGTGCCAGGGATGAGTCTCTGGATTCTATCTAGAATAAATAGAAAGCTTTGCATAAAAGAATTAATATATACAAGTTTAAAATGAGGAATCAAAATAGGAACAAAATGATATCAAAGTATTTCAAAATCAAAGAATTGCAAAACTTTGCAATTCTCAAAGTTACTATTTTGGGGCGGAGAGAGAAACAGTCTTTCACAGCAAGATATTTCTGAACTCATAAACAGCAAAAGATTTCAAATTGTTTCAAAAGATTTCAACAAACGTAATTAACACACCACAAAAGTTAATTGATAAAATATGCAATCTATTTAACTATAGCATTGCTAATCTGTCTCTTGCTCCATTACCTAACTACCCCTGTTGATTTTAGTTTAAACCGTATCTCAGATTAGCTACTGTTGAACTGACATGCATCTCAGTCTGTGCATCTGTTGAAGTGAGCTGCATTTCATAAAACCTTATGTCTTTCAATAAAATATATTAGTCAGAAAAGATGCTACCAAACTTCTACTGATTTTTGGTACTACAATACAGCTAATTAATATTGCCTGTTTTGCCTCAGGCAGGCCTGTTTTGAAATTCCTATAAGATTTTTTCATTCTGGTTTAAAAAGCCCATACAATTTACCATTTGATAGTTTGTTCTTGAATCTTTTTGTCAGTTGGAGCAGCTAAATGAATATGAAAACTCCTCCTGTTTTGTTATGATAGCTTAGTTTTGATGTATTCAGTAGATTCAGAGCTTCTGCAGCTTTCCAAGGCAGAATTTCTATCAACCAGTTATGAAGATGAGTTATGGGACTGTCACCACCAAGCTTTCAGTTAAAATTGCTGGGGAAAACCAAAGGCAGTGTGCCTATGCTTATTGGTTTCTCTTTTCTCTTCTAGGAGCATCAGAGAGAAGAGATTCCATCTTCGGAATTCAGGCTTCTCTGCTTCCCCCCATGCCCCTTAAACTCATTTACTTTATGAATCAAAGGGATGCCGTTAAGTAATAAATTTAGATAATAAAAGGTACTTTTCCATAGATGTTTACTCATAAATTTTTAGTTTCAATAAACATGGTACCACAGCTTCTTAAATTCTTAAGATTTTAATTTGTTTAGATAAAAATATCTCCCTTGAAATAATTTATCAATAGCATTTGCATTTCACATTTTAAAAGTTGTATTATAGAAATAGCCAGAAACTCTTGATATGTTAATTGATTTTGATTACATTATTACTTATTAATAAATATGAGCATGTCAACATTCATATTGTGATTTTCATAGAAGTGTTTTTTCTATATTGCTTGATTGCTTCTTTCATATATGTAGAGGATTACATCCAGAAATATTCTTCCATCTGTATGTAAGAAGGAATTCAAAATGTTCTTCGATATATAAAAAATTAATGAAACTAAAACTAATAATGTTTGCAAAACTGAAAGATTCTGTGTTTTCATACAAGTGAATTAGCTGAATGTATAACCTCAATAGCAATCTTATTCAGAGTGCTGCCACAATGCACATATTATACGTTTTATATGTGCATTCTGGCAGCATTCTGAATAAGATTGCTATTCATCACCCTTTACACAAAATCATTTAAAAGAATTGGCTCTTGGCAAGCAGTTATATTGTTTTCCATATGGTGATATAGACCCTAGCTGCTGGTCATTGCATTCACAGCTGCTAATGTAAAGAGTTACTTCTTGCAGATATCTAGTAAATTATATTCTGAGGATAAAATTGAGGGTGAAGAATCTCTCAGTCTTTTTTAAAATAAATGCTGTAAAATAAAAGCAATTAATTATATTAATTAATAATAGCTAAAGTAACTTACATCAGGGATGTCAAACACAAGTCCTGTAGGGTGGATGTGCATCCTGGAAATTATAAGGGCCCCACGTTGCTTCAGCCTGGTCTACCCAATGCGAAGAGGAAACATCAGGCCCGTGTGGCTTCGACCGGTCTAACCAATGCGAAGAGGAAACATCGGGCCAGCATGGCTTTGAACCTGTCTAACCAATGCGAAGAGGAAACATGACAGCAGTTTGGGGAGTGGTGTTAAGCTGGCCATGCCCACCTAGTTGGCCATACCCAGTGACTGGCATCCAGCTGGCCATGCCCACCCAGTCAGCCACACACACACCCCCGAGGTCAGCCACAGCCCTGATGCGGCCCTTAATGAAATTGAGTTTGTCACCCCTGACCTACATCAACAGAAAGATGTTTAAAATCATAACAGTAGCAAGATTAAAATAAAAAGAACTAGGAAGCAACAGAATATTATGAAACAGAATCTGTACCCGTAGGATATTTAAGTTTCAATGATAACTGTAAATCATTAGGACTGGCATGTGTGGCAGATTTAAGTAACATTCTCATATATGGTTGGCAGTAAATATTATATAAATTGGAATTTTGATCTAAATCCTGATTAGGCTTTTTTAATATTATGAAAATTTTAAATTAATTCATCAAATAAGAGGATCCAATGGAACAGGATATTCATAACTTGGGGTTGAATTGTGGAGTTCTTGGTGCTTTCTGAACTTGGTTGTTGTTTGCAGTTGTTTCACTATCTAACTATGTAGCATCATCAGTGCTAATGAATGTAGAGTTTGCTCACTATTTGTATAAGATGCTTGTCCTGCTAGTGTTGGTGGTTCTTGGTTCTTTCTTGATTAGGGTATTATTTTCTGCTTGTTAGCTGGATTGATGTCCTGTCCAGAGTGGAGGGCACTATATATAAAAGAAAGCAAACCATACATTGACTAGCACTGATTATGTTATCTAAGGTAATAAAACGTCTGCAGAGTACCAAGAACTTCCAGTCAGAGAGATGTACTCCTTGCTTCCAAAGCCCGTAATAAATTAAGTCTCTGTCTGTAGGGCTAGTTTTGATAGTATTCTCAATCCTCTGACATCCTCAAAATTTGATGGATCCTTTTCCCTAGGCTTCTGGACTCTTCTTTGAAATCTAGATTTTAGCCAGAGGTTTGTCTCTTAATCTTTTGCTCCTTTTGCAGAATGTTTCCATGGCACCCAGCCTCTTAGTCTTAGAATGCATTCTTCAGCCTTCTTCCTGTTGTTGTTTTTAAGTGCATTACAGGTTTAATCAGCAAGTGAGGTTCAAACCAATGCTCTGCCCTCTTCTTTAAGCATAAATACATTCTCTGCTTCACTTTTCCGCCTTTAACACTTTACTAAATTGACTAACTTTATTAATACCACATTCTGCTGAATATTATCCCTCAATATACCAACTCTACTGCAATGGTAACAGACTGCTTTTTCCAACCCCTGCATCCCATTTCCTTTCCCTCCTACTTTTATTTTTGTGGATATTATTATAATGCAATTATTGCAAGAAATGTGGGTTATCAAAATATTTATGAAAATTATTTTCAAAGCATTTTATTGCTATGCTAATAATTTTATCTATGAAAATGACTCACTTCACTCGGGGATGTTGCATTACTCTGTAGTTTGCTAGGCACTTCTGAAATAGGCCAGAATGAAGCTCTAGTTGAATCTGAAAACTTAAGGGGCAATCTTCAGAAGATGTAGGATCAGGCTAGATGAATTTGCCATTCCAAAATCTTGTTCCTATGTATATTTTAATATTAAATCAGTTTCCCCTCAAATATTATATGTTCACATGAATTGTCCAGCAACTAAATGTGCTGCAATAAAACATGCTTTATATGTTTCAAAGTATGACTAGTAGTACTATATTGAAATTTCCTTGGCTGTAAAAGTTATGACGGATTCTCTTTAAAGTTTTCATTTCATCTCTTATAGGAATGAAGCAACTATTATCTCAGGGAGAAGGCTGGCTGCACAAGTCTTTGAGGAAATACAAAGAGATATCGAATCATGGCTTACCCTGGGCCACAAGAGACCTCATCTCACTGTTGTTTTAGTAGGAGAAAACCCAGCTAGTCATACTTATGTAAGAAATAAAGTAAAAGCAGCAGCAGCTGTAGGTATGACTTTTTTCGAGTTTGTGCATTGCCAACCCAGATTGTTTATAGTATATATATAATATTTTACTTGCGTACAGTTTTATTTTTTTGAATAGTGAGGCTTCAGCAGATGTGGCAGTGATGCAAAGCAGGAGAGCCAACACACCTATTCAGGGACAATATTGTCATAAGATTTTGGTGAGGTGGGGCAAGATTAATATCAGCCTTACCAAGAACAACTGACAGTAAATGTGGCCCTTATTCTACTTTATTGTAAGGCTACATTAATAGAATCTTGAAAGTCTAAAACTTGTGCCATCTCCTTTGCAAGCTGAGAATGAGGTGGGGGGGTCCTTTCTGAGCCTCTTTTTCTGTCCATTATCTGTTTCCTAGACAACATCTCTCTGCATTCTCCCAAAGTCATTCCTATGTACCATTTCAGTATGATACCTATTTTATTATTAATTAATTAATTTATAAAATGTATAGGCTGCCCATCTTATCTCAAGGTAATTCTGGGCTGTTTACAATAATAAAAAATAGAAACTATATAAACTAAAAGCATAAGTAAGTTAATACAAAAGCCAAGCACTATGGCCCAATTAAAAAATGAGGAGGACAGGAGCAGGATATGGGGAAGGTGGGATCTGTTTTTAAATTATCAACCACATTCACTGTGATGCTCCCACATTAGAGTCCCAAGCTAACAATCAGAGCCAGGTTTTTAGGATCTTCTGAAAGGTCACACCGGGGGGGAGGGGAGACAACAAGATGTTCCACAGGTCAGGCGCAATGGCAGAGAAACCCCTCCTCCTGGATCCAGCCAAAATAATCAGACTGACCAAATCTGCAGCATGCTTCTTCTGCCAGCATGGGTGGGACAGGCCAATCCCAGTGGGATGAGACTGTCTCTCAAGTAGCCTGACCCATTCACTGATCTCTAAATTCATTTCTCAAAAAGGCACCCAATCAGGATCACAGTGATGCCAACATTTTAAACATGTCATGACATCACAGTTCAACTTGTTTCAATGTCACAGGCAAGTTTGTAAGTTGTACATTTTGTTGCTTGCCCCCCTCACCCGTGTTCTCTTCCTTCAGGCTCCTAGGAAAACCATTTCTTTAATTTTCAGTAAATTGGGTTTCAGAAAAGAGATTCAACAGTTCCAATTTGTCCACATATGTCCTACATAGTTAAGCATGTGTACATTTGTTTTACATGTTTTAGAAGCTTGAGCAAAGATAAATAATAGTGCCATTAAATCTGGAAGTACATAATTTGATTTGTGTAGCAAATTTTGCAAGAGACAAAATGCTAAGGATATTTCTTTTGTGGATTGTTTTAGGCATTTGTAGTGAAATAATACTGAGGCCCAAGGAAATTTCTCAAGAAGAACTTTTAGATCTCACTGGCAAATTAAACAAGAATTCAAGAGTCAGTGGCATATTAGTCCAGTTACCTTTGCCAGGTAATGAATTCTGTTTCATATGGAGTCAGAAAATAAAATGACTGAGAATATATGAGAAAAATGCTGTTAAACTAGTACCTCTGTTCTTGTACAAGGGAAGAGATTTATGAATAATCAATTTCCTTAGGTCATTGTTGTCTTTACTAGCATTTATTTATCTAATGATTTTTTCTAAATATTTGTTATTTGTATTACAATGCTTAGTCCTTTACAAGTGAAGCTAAAATCTGATTGCCAAATTGCCATATATTTTACCAGTAGGACATAACTGCAGGTGGCAAGAGATGAGTTCTGTCCTTTCCAAAAATGTCCCCAAAATTAATAGTAGCTCCGGAGAAAGTTCAGCTTTAAATTGCCATGAATGAAGCTGAGAGAAACATAAAGAAGAAAGTCTTCCCAAATAACTTTTATTTAAGGCCACATAGGGCTTTCCTGGCAATAACCAGCACTTTTTGAAAGAAACCGGCAGCCAATGTATGATAGTATTCGTAATACAGAAATATTCTGAACTCTTCTCAAGTCCAGACTTTCTGAGATAGATCCAAAAATTGAACCACACAGAGTACATGCAAGAGTTAAGCCTAGAGGTTATCAGTGCTGGTAGCTCTCTTCTAAGATCATCTTCCAGGAAAGGATGCTATTGAAACATTCACTGAACCATCCACTAAACGGCTGCCCTGGCCTTTGCTGCAGCGTGGAAAAAGAATGTATCTCTACTTGCTGCCTTGGGTCTCTACAACCACATTCGCAATGGGTAGATCGACTCGCTCCTGAAATTATGAAATCTCACAAAAAGCACTTTCATTTTGCCTTGATTCTGTTTCAGCATATTGAATCCTTTATTCATTTCTTAAAATATGATTTTATTAAATTTCAGAAGAATGAATAAAAACTAAACAAGCAAGAAAAATAGAAAAGAAAGAACCAGACAGAAATCAAGAAAAAAGTGTGAAGAAAAGAAGAAAGGAAAAAGTAAAGACAAAAAGAATGGCTTCCAACTCTCTTTGGTACAAATATACATAAAAATCCAACACAATCTAAAATTAACAATTGTCTATATTACTTCTGTAATCCCTTATGATTCTAATCATTGAATCCCAAAATCAAAATTTCATTTTTCTCATTTTTTTCAAAAAGTCCAAAATTGGCTTCTAAGTATTTTTGAAATAAAACTGCTTTTCTTTTCTTTAATCAAAGCTGTCAATTTTGCCATTCTGCCAGTTTTGCCATCTAATCATCCATTCTAGATACTGCAAATATTTCTACCTTCTTGCATATAGTATAGCTGTGGTTATAGTACATAAAATAATTTTTCATCCCCAATTAAACATTAGCACTTGGAGAGCCACTCCATTATCAATCATTATCTGGTAGGAATATAGAAAATAATTTGAGTATCATCAGTATATTGGTAGCACTCAGCTTAAAATTGCTAATATTTAGCAGTATCATGTAGATATTGAAATGCATAGAAGTGGAGAACTGATTTATGTCATGCAATTGTCCATTTCATAGAATCAGGGCTGGAAGGGACTTGAGAAGTAGGGGATTGTATCCTGGACAGATGGCTGGCCAATCTTTTCTTGATGACCTCCAGTGATGGAGCACTCAAATTGTAAAAGGCAAGCTGCACCATTGATTAATTGTTGTCAGGAATTTTCTTTTTACTTCCGGGTTGGAGGAGTCTTTAACAAGCTTATACCATTTTAATTCTTGTCCTGCCCTCAGGTGCTTTGGAGAATACATTGACCCCTATCTTCTCTGTGATAGCCTCTCAAATACTGGTAAATAGCTTCTGTCATGTCACCTCTAATCCTTCTTTTTGTTAGACTAGACATACTTAGTTCCCGTAACTATTCATCATAGGGTTTAGTCTCTAGACTCCTGATCATCTTTATTGCTCTTCTTTGGAGTCTTTCTAGGACTCAGCATCTGTTTTATATCATAGTGATCAGAACTGGATACAGTGTTCCAAGTGTGATCTTACCAGTGCAATATCATGTGATTTTGATACTATCCCTCTGTTGATGCAGTCAAGGACTGCATTAGCTTTTCTGGCTGCTGTAGCACACTGCTGGCTCAAACTTAAGTGATGATCCCCTAGGGTATCAAATCCCTCTCCCAGTTACAATCGTTGATCCAGGTACCGGCTGTTCTGTATTTGCCTAAGGACAGGACCTTGAGGAACTCATCAAATTTGCAGCCAATACCAAGCTTTGTGGTGGGGTGGGGGATTGCCAATGCTTTGGAAGATAAAGGTTCAGAATGATCTTGACAGACTTGAGCATTGATACAAGTTAAGATCCTGAATCTTTATGTTCCAAAGTATTGGCAATCCCCCCCTCACCAAGCTTGATATTGGCTGCAAATTTGATGAGTTCCCCTTCTATTTTCTCATCTAGATCATTTATGAAGATGTTGAAGATCATTGGCTCCAAGAGAGAACTTTGACGTGCTCCACTGCATAATTCTCACCATGTAGATTAATTTTATTGAGGATTACATGCTGGGTGCAGTTAGTCAGCCAACTGCAAATCCATCTGGTGGTGGTACTCTATCCCACATTGTTCTATCCCACTAAGAAGTAGGATAGAGTCTTTTTTTATCATGTCTCACTGAAATCCAACTAAACTATATCAGCATTTCCCTTACTCTAATTTAATCACTTTAACAAAGAAAGCAATGAGGTTTGTTTAGTATGATCTGTTTTTAACAAACATATATTGGTTTCTAGTGGTCACTTTGTTCATTTTTAGATGCTCACAAATCTGCTGCTTGATTTTCTTTTCACATTTATTGATATCAAAATGATTGTCTGTAGTTTCCTGAATCCACTTTTTTCCATCTTGGAGACTGAAACCGTATCGGCTCTTTTCCAATCCTCTGGTAATTTCCCTGCACGCCTGAAAGATTTTGTTCAGTGGTTCCATCTGCCAGCTTCTTCAGTACCCTGGGATGTAAACCATCTGGTCCTGGTTATTAGAACTCTTCTAAAGTGGATAGGTATTCTTCTACCAATTTCTTATCCATTTTCACCAGCATTGCTGTTCTGTTTTCTCTCTATGCTGTTTTTGATAGGTTGAGCTGTTGTTTTTTTCTCTTTTGCATAAAGACAGATACAAACAAGGAATTAAGCAGTTGTGCTTTCTATTTGCTCCCTATTACCTTTTTGGAAGTTTCTCCCACTAATGGACCTATCATTTCCTTGACTTCTTTTATTTTTCCCTTTCCTTTTGAAAGAAACTTTTTTTTCTTATTTTTGACATTTGTTGCAAATCTTCATTCTGAACATTAATCTTTATGACTCCATTCCTGCAGATTCAGGCTATTTGCTGGTGTTCTGTTCTAGTTATATGTCCCTCTTTCCATTTTTTAATACTTCCCCCCCTCCCTCAGCTTGTTGGAGACCATGTTGTGCAACCATGTTGATCTCATCTGAGGTGTTTTGTTTTTCTTCCTCTGATATTGTTTTTCCCCGACCTTTAGTATCTCAATTTTTAGAGTTTCTCATGAATCTTGAACTGTTTTTCCTTCTAGAATTGCCTTCCTAATTTCTCTCTTATTTTATTAAAGCCAGAACTCTTAACATCTAAAACACGGATCTGATTCTGTCCTTATTGTGGTGAATTCTAGTATGACATGGTCACTCTGCCCTAACATCCCTCAAATTTCTACTCCCATGATCATTTCATTACAATTAGTTAGGATTAAGTCCAGAGAAGCTGATTGTTTGGTTCCTGTCTCCCCTTTTTGAGTGACAAAGTTGTCAGCCAGGCACATTAGAAACTAATTCAATCTCCCACTACTTGCAGCATTTGTTTCCCAGTTGATGTTGGATAGTTAAAGTCCCCCATTGCTACAATGGACTGTTTCCTGCACGCTTCAGCTAACTGATTAGCAAAGGATTGTTTTATTTTCTCCACCTGGTTAATAGTACATGCCTGTAGTATGTGCCTATGGCAATATCATTTCTTTTACCTCTAATATTTACCCAAATACTTTCAAGAAGGTTTTCATCTCTAGTATTCCATATTTCTGTAGAGGTCTAGTAATTGTTTACATACAAAGGTACTCTTCCTCATCTGTTTAGTTGGTTCTCCTTCTTTTGAACAATTTATATCTTTCTAGCAGTATGTTCCAATCATGGATTCCCTCCTATTAAGTTTCAGTAATAGCAATAACATCATAAAGGTAAAAGTAAAGGTTCCGCTCTCACAGATGTGCTAGTTGTTCCTGACTCTCGGGTGGTGCTCATCTCAAAACCCATTTCAAAGCTGAAGAGCCAGCGCTGTCTGAAGATGTCTCCATGGTCATGTTGCTGGCATGAGTAAACACCGAAGGCACACGAAATGCTGTTACCAAAGGCAGTTCCTATTTTTCTACTTGCATTTTTTCATGCTTTTGAACTGCTAGGTTGGAAGAAGCTGGGACAAGTAACAGGAGCTCACTCTGTTATGCGTTGCTAGGGATTCGAACCACCAAACTGACGACCTTTCTGATTGACAGGCTCAGCATCTTAGCCACTGAGCCACCACATCCCTACAATAACATCATACCTACCCTCATATATTCAAACTTCAAGTTCCCCCTATTTCTTAACCAAACTCTGAGCATTAGTGTACAAGCATCTGAGCCTTTTATGGCTGATCTTCTGTTAGTTTTCTACTGTCCTATTTTATACCTAAGTTCACAGTCCTTTTCACCACTCCCTTTCTCACTGTTTGGTTGGTTGTCTTGGGGATTATGCTTAAAGATTGGTCTTCCTCCCCTTCCAGTTTTCTTTAAAACCCTTTGGATGATCCAAGCCAATTATTTGCCATACACATTTTTCCTGGTTCTTATGAGATGCAGCCCATCTTTTGCCAGAAGTCCTTCCTATAGGCTATTCAAATTATGGTCCAAAAATCCAAAGTTCTTTCATTGGCACCATCCCTTGAGCCAGTGGTTTATTTCTAGAATCCTCCATTCCCTTGTTGGGTGTTGACCTTCCATTGGAGACGAAAACATCACATGTGCTTCCAAATGCCTTGCTTTTCTACCCATAGTTCCTTGAAATTGTTCTCAGACTCTTAATTGCATAATTTGTCCCAGAAGAAAAGGGTAATAATTGGTGGGCTTGATTATTTTAGTAAGCCGAGAGGTTTACAGATGGTTCTGTTCCTTTGAGTAGTGAATCATAGATCATTAATCCATCCATGCCTTTATTTTTTTGGGTAGGGGCGAGTCTAAGCTCTTTTATTTCCTGTCACTGGAGCACTTGACAAACACACTTCTCCATGTGTCTGCATGTTTTCTTCCAGACAAAGGGTATGAAATGGCAGGAACAGCCTTTTCAGATTGTTTACCTTTGAGTGGCATTTCCTTTCCTGTTTCTTCATAGTTATTTCTTCTTTGCTGTGTTTGGTTTGGATACAGACATCTGCCTTTACTAAGAGTTCATTATGTTCACCAATGAGTCTCAGAATATCTGGTTTCAGAGTAGCTATAGATTCTTCAGTTTTTCTTCAAGTAATTCAATTAATTTACATTTGATACGGATGGGCAAGAATACAAACATATTGCATATAGCTACAATGCTAGCCTCTTTTTCCATGGCTTTGTTATTATCCATCCAAATGCACCCAATAATACTATGTTTTTTCTTTTGTGGCATTGTTTATAACTCCACAAGAAGCAGGCAAATTGAATCTATAAAACAAGCTTATCTATGTCAAAGAGTTAATTCCCCAACATTGTTTCAAATTTTTTTTAAAAGCTTTCTGATCAAAATTAACCTTTTGCTCCCTCTTGTGATTAATGTTGAAATAACACTTCAATATAACGAAGCAAAACAGCTTTCTGATTTAAAAAAATAGATTTTTTTGCTCTAAATCACATAGCCTTCTGTTAAAAATTGATCTTTCTCTCAGATTAGCCTTTTGCTCCCTCTTGTGGTTAATATTGAAATAATACTTATATACAATGGAGAAGACCAAATTAGATTTCTTCTCTGTCTCCTCAGTTCACAGTTTACAATCCTCAAAAAAGTTGCAGCTTTGCTTTGCAATTAATGTGAATGCTTTGCTTTGTTAATGTAAGCACAGTTTACATTTCTCAAAAATTTGAAGTCTTACTTTACAGTTAGTGTCTAAAAAATAAAAATAAATAAAAAGTAGTCAAAAACGGAGAACCATTCAGTTCGTAAGAAGAGAAAAATTATAGGCACGCATTTGCAGTTGGTATAAAATAAGAGGTTGGAAGATAAATCCAACTGCTGTGGTGTTGTAATGCTTGTCTCTTCAGCATAACAAATGGAAGGCTAGATTATAAGTGAAAAAAAGTCTCATTTTAAATTGCAAAAACCAACAAAAGCAACTCAAGGTCATTTCAATTTAGCATTTGTCTGCTTTTACTGAGGAATTTTTGGTGGATGGGGAAGAGGAAAGCAAAAAGAGAACAAAGAGAGCTCTGATAGCTACATGTCTTAGCTGAACTCACCCAAGTAAAACTTTCATTTTCCATAATGTCTTCTCTTCTTTCCCTGTGTATCTTCTGAGCTTGTTTGAGACTTTTAATCCATTCATGCTGCAGAGGTGGCCTTGCATTCCTGGTACAATTCCCTCTACAACATCTGAATTGCAACTGTTTCCAAATAACATCTGAACATCTTTCTAAGGAATAGAAATGGAATTACTATAAAGCAGGAGCATAGATTACCAAACTTCCCAGATGATCCAGAAGGAAGATATGATTGTCAGTGATATCGAAGCTTGCTGAAGAACCACTACCAATTCCCTATGCTAATCCTCAGCCGTCATCCAGCATGCCAACCAAGAAAGTCTTAGCTGCATTGCCCTCAATAAATCCAATTTGAAATGTTTCAAGATACAGTAATCTGTCTAGAAATATCTGTAGGAAAACTTATATTCATCTCTTCAGAAGATCAAAGCCTGATTTGTAGCCATCTCCAAGGGATTTAAAGCAGGCTTTTAAAGAAGAGATCTTATAGCAATAGCAGTAGACTTATATACCGCTTCATAGGCCTTTCAGGCCTCTCTAAGCGGTTTACAGAGAGTCAGCATATTGCCCCCAACAATCTGGGTCCTCATTTTACCCACCTCGGAAGGATGGAAGGCTGAGTCAACCCTGAGCCGGTGAGATTTGAACCGCTGACCTGCTGATCTAGCAGTAGCCTGCAGTGCTGCATTTAACCACTGGGCCACCTTGGCTCTTCATGATTATGATTATATCTTTTAAACATTATTTTAAGCATTATACTCACTTAAAAATTAAATTCATTTTGTCCCTCTTTTCTTCCCCAAAATACAGCTGGTATGGATGCTACTTTCAAATATTGATTATTGCCGAACTTATATTGATGGAGTATACACAATTTTTAGAACAAGCTGTTCCACCAATTATAAGAACGAATCCTGCTCTTTGTGCATGGTCTCATAACACAGATGGGAAATTGGTCTGAAATCAGATTTGCGATGATTTAACACATTTCTAAAAATGATTTTTTTTTAGATCACCTTTATTGACCCTAAAAGCACAGAATCTCTTACTATGAACTGACTTATTAGACATGAATAATTTGAGTTGTGTGTTGTGTTTTTAAGCTAATGCATCCTAAAAATAGGATTCAAAGCACATGATACATGTCAAAAGAAATATCAAATCATGATAATACCAGTAAGTATGAGAGGGATCTTGATGTGATCAATACCAGTAACTGTAACAGGGATCTTGGAATCCTAGTGGACAATCATTTAAATATGAGTCAATGATGTGCGGCAGTAGCCAAAACACCAATGCAATCCTAGGCGGCATTAACAGAGGGATAGAATCAGGAACACGTGAAAGCACTACCGCTTTGCAAAGCATTAGTAATACCACACTTGGAATACTGCATCCAATTTTAGTCATCACAATATTTAAAAAAAATTGAGACATTGGAAAAGTGCAGAGAAGAGCAACAAGGATGATTAGGGGCCTGGAGGCTAAAATTTTTGAAGAACCATTGCAAGAATTGGGTATGGCTCTAGTCTAATGAAAAAAAGAACCAAGAAAGATATGATAGCACTGTTCCAATATTTGAAGGGCTACCATAAAGATGAAGTATTTTCCAAAGTATCAGAAGGCAAGGAAAGAAACAATGGATGGAAACTAATCAAGGAGAGAACCAACCAAGAACTAAGGAGAAATTTCCTAATGGTGAGAACAATCAACCAGTGGAATGGCTTGCCTTTAGAAATTGTGCTCCATTGTTGAAGGCTTTTAAGAAGACATTGGACAGCCGCTTGTCTGAAATGGTATAGGGTCTCCTGCTCGAGCAGGGTTTTGGACTAGAACAGAGGTGGGTTATTCCCGGTTCGGCTTGGTTCGGCCGAACCGGTAGTGGTAATCTGGCCTGGGTTCCAAACCAGCAGTGACCCAGGCTGGCCATGCCACCGACCAGTTCCCCCGTTTCCGTTGCCATTGCTGGCATCTTTTTTATTAGCTTTTAATGGTCTTCATTCATGCACAAAACTATTTACAGCCAACTGCGCATGTGCGAGCAAACGCAAAGCGAACCTACCCCTGGACTAGAAGACCTCCAAGGTCCCTTCCAACTCTTTTATTCTATATTTTAAGATCCCATTTGAATAGGATGAAGAAGGATTTGTTTCAATAGTCAGCATAGTTATATCACTATAGATATATTGCACCCCTCTTTAGTCCCCTTTCCTGGAGAGATGGACAAAAAACAACCAGAATAGCACTTTTCCTAACCCAGAATCCCCAATAGAAAGTTGACAACTTAAGGGCTTTTAGTTAACAGTGCCACGCAAATCCTATGTATTTTTTTTAATTACATTTTTCAAAGAATAACACTAGATTGCTTACGCTTTATCAAAGCAGTTTAAAATTGTTTCTTGAGAGAAGAAACAGAACATTTGCCATATCTTTTGATTCATAAATTCTTGTGAACAGAAGTACTTTTTCCCTACATATCACAAAATCAAAGACGTCCTCTTTCTAATGGAGAAAGGAATAATTTCTAACATGTCCTGTGGAAAATTTTGACCATTACAGGGGAAATGGCTCCTCGCGAGTGGTATTTTTTAATTGAGTGATAATTAAATGCATACTTTCCACCAATCCCGACTGGATTAAATTAAGATGTGACCAGTCACTGGAATTAAAATCAGGAATCCCATTATAGACGTTTAACACTTCATATAAAATTACCTCCTTATATATTTACATTTACCCTTAAAAACTGGCACAATACATTAAACAAGATAAATAACAACTATTAGGCTAACTGTATTTTAAAGTAAGAAAAATTCTTTTTTTCCAGATCACATTGATGAAAGGACTGTGTGCAATAGTGTTGCTCCTGAAAAGGATGTGGATGGATTCCATATTTTCAATATTGGGCGATTGTGCCTCGACCAGCCTTCCATTATACCTGCCACTGCTGCTGCAGTTTGGGAAATAATAAAGAGAACTGGTAACTGAATCAAGTGTTTTAAGGAAATGGGGGTTAAACGCATTCTGGAAATTTAACTGAGAAAAAGAAGTATAAGCTTAAACTATAAACTACCAGACCTCCATTCTTTAAATAGTTTCAGTACTAAAATAGGTTTCTTTTAAAATTCGATCAGCACTGCTATCAGGATTCCAACCAATACCCTAATAAAAGTAGGAGCATTAAGCCATCTCTCAAAAAAAATCCAGTTGTTTATTAGGAGTGCCATGTCAGCACGAACCAAGTGAAGCCAGCTCTGACTTCACCCAATTCGCGCCTTGCCTCTGATCCTGTTTCCCCCTCCCTCCAATGTGTGTCACCAGTCACATTCCCCAACGAAAGCAATTTCACGGGTCGTAGAAGTCACTCCCTCTGGCTGTTATGGATCTCCGTGGAGATGACCTTGACTTCGGCTGGCAGGAAGCATTTTGTTTTGACTGAAGTCCGAATTCCTCGGTGCAGCTGTGAGGCGTCATTTCTCATCCCCCTGCCTATGGCAACTCGGGAGTGGGTCAGGAAAGCTTCACGGGTTGACACTAATAGTATTGTATTAGTGACTCCAGTTTTGCAAATTTACACTCATTCAGAATTGTTAGATATTCCCTGATCATGTTTCTATCAATCTAAAATTTTATTCTTGTCCTTTTATTCTCCTCTTTTAATTACCTGATGGAACTCTCTTGTTAGAAAAGTCAATATAAGTTGAATAGCTCTTCCTGTTCTTTCTTTCTTGTTGCTGTTTCATTGGGCAGCCCATATATTGGGTCTGCTTTGTTCCTTTTATTTTTAATTGATCTAAAGAAGTCTTGCTCTTCTTAGTTTGCAAACTCATTCAGATTTCTGAGACTATTATTCCTTAACTGAGTACTTATTTGTACTTAGGTGATATGACTTCTTTCTAACTTGTATACTGTAGTGCTTTTTTCTTTAAGTTGTCATGAAACTTTTTGTATCATCACACTGTCTTCTGTTCTTCTTCGTTATTTTTTTCTTATTCTATGCTGAATAGTGCTAGCAAACCACTATTCATTCTCCCCATTCAAATGCTCAGTGAATTTGGTCATTGGAACTAATTATTTATTCAATTTATATAGCCACCCATTTCACCTAAGTAACATTACACAGTTTACATAATTAAGAACAACAATTAAAAGTAAAATAAAACCATTAAAGCCCCATTAAACAGTTTATTAAAACAAAACTACTTTGCAGAAGAATACAATTAATTATTAACAATGCAATTAACCAACAGGTTTGACACTGCTTGATGATGTTAAGAGCCTGCCAGAAAGCCAGCAGGGTGATTGTTCATCTAACCTGAGAAGGACAGGAATTGTCCCAAAGAGCAGGAGCCACAGCAAACCAGGCTCAATTCTTGGATCCTATGAGATGATGTTCCTTAATGGCAGGACTCTTAACATGACTTTTCTGCCAAACTAGTAGAATGGGTAGATTTACCTGGGGAGACAAAGTCTCTCAATAACTTGGACCCATTAGTTGCTTTATATGTTCCCAACAATCTGCTTGTTCAGAAGGGAATTGTTTTCATGTCTAAAATATTGTTCACATTTCATCTGGGCTACCTTATAAAGCAGGAGTGTCAAAGGCCCGGAAGCCAGATCCGGCCTGGCAGGTGCTTAGATCTGGCCCGTGGGACTACCCTGGAAACAGCAAAGGACTGGATGCAGCCCTCCTGAGCCCTGTTTTCAATGGCAGAGGGTTGTAGGAAGCCGTCACAGCCAAAAACAGAGGTGTCCCTGGTACGAGTGACATTGAGCTGTCCATGTCTACCCTGGGCCCCCAAGGTAGCCTGTTATAAAGTAAGCTTGAGAGCGCTGCACTCAAAAAAGAGAAGAAATAAGTAATGTGAAAAGTACTACCACATATACTCAAGTCTGTCCACGATTAGATAAACCCAATTTTGGGAATGGCACCTAAAATTCTCAGCTTATCTGTGAGTATGTTTGGTAGTTATACTTCTAATACTCTTTAACATTTTGAAGTATAAGCAGAGTGTTGATTATTTACATACACAAGTGATAAAATATGACTTGTGTTTCCTGCATGAAACAAAGAATAGGGTTAGATATCGTTATGGAACACTTACAGTCTTTCTACTAACTTTTAGAAGAAACCATTACAGAAAACAATAGAGCGAGCACGCATGCACAAGTGGTGGGATTATAGCTCATCAAGAAGAAGGGTAGCAAGGGAAGAAGCTGTTGTATTTATGGATAGAGAATTTGCAACAGGTAGAAATTTATGGCAGTGAAGTGTGTCTTCTAAATTCTTCTAGTGAAATGTTCAGTTTTCTCGTGCACACATGCTTTCTATCTTTGTGATTTTAAATTCCAGAAATAATAATGTAATGGCAGTTTAGTTATATAGATGCTCTTTTGAAAATGAAAACTGAGCAGCAAGAACAGAATTATTTCTTGAATTATCCTAGGCATAGTAACAGAGCTTATTCTTCTTAGTCCTTTGTTGTGGTGGTCCATCTTCTCTTTAGTGATCATATTTTGTTTATTATATAAAGTAAATTTAAAATACTAATTTAACAATGAACAAAATAAAATTGCAGTTGACTATTGTGGTTATTATTTGTAAATTATTGCCTTCAAAAAGTCATATTAAGCCTTTTGTAATAATAAAAACTGTAAAAACCTAAATTTATTACTCTTATCGTAATTCTATGGTAAAAATTAAATTAATGTGTAGTCAGGAAAATGATAGATTTAATTTCACAAGCTTCCATATGTTTTAGTTATTACTATTATTTTTTAAGGAATACAGACATTTGGAAGAAATGTTGTTGTAGTTGGAAGATCAAAAAACGTTGGAATGCCAATTTCAATGCTTTTACACTCTGATGGGGAACATGAAAGGCCTGGCGGTAAGTTGAAGAACATTTTACATTATTCTATTGGAAACTTTAACAGGGCGAGAAGGAAAAGAGCTAGAAAAAGAATAAAAAAGACCTCATTCCTTATTGTGCAAGCAGTAAAATCAGTTTTACTTAATCGAAAATAAGATTTCCTTTGGGGATAAATTTATTTTGTAGATAAATAAATATCCTATTGCCACTGCTGATAAATGATAAGCTTGTAGTGATAGTCTTTTTCTTTTTATATCTTTTCCAGAATTATTAAGATTGGAGGGGTGAGATTATATTCTGTTTTGCACTTATTTAAAAGACCAAAAACATTTTTTATCAATAATAATGCATTAAAAATAACATGAGAAAACTAATGTTGCTGTTTAGAAATACAAAACTCCATCTTTATGCACTGAAGGATAATTCACTTTTTCACAGAGACCACCAAAGTGTGCCTTTTCTTTGTCTGTCTTTTCTCTATACTGCCCTTTTTTACTTATATATGTGACAGGTGATGCTACAGTGACAATAACTCATAGATATACACCAAAAGATCAGCTGATGATTCATACACAGCTTGCGGACATTGTGATAGTTGCTGCAGGTGAGGAGCATTATCAGTTTTTAAAAGTTATTCAATGGAATTAAGCATCAGTATTGGGCTGTTTCTGTAATTCAAAATTTAATGTGTTTGCTAAAACAAAGTTTGCTAAGATAATATGAAAATCAATCTAGATTTTAAAGATGTAGTAGTATGCAATTACAATTAATGGAAATTATTTGTGTATTTATTTATTGAATTTATATTACTATCTATTTGCACATAGCAACTCAAGGTAGCTTACAGAATATAAAACTATATTTAAAACAATAAAAACTAACAAACAAAATAAAAATATATAGTCCAATATAACAAAATCACCTCCATTTAATGGGCTCCATCCTGCTTTGGGTTCCCTAGGCCCCCTGCCAGAACTAGGTCTTCAGTGCATTGGGGGAAACTAATCAAGGAGAGAAATAACTTAGAATTAAGGAGAAATTTCCTGACAGCTAGAACAATTAATCAGTGAAACAACTTGCCTCCAGAAGTTATGAATGCTCCAATATTATAAGAAGATGTTGGATATCCATTTGTCTGAAGTGGTGTAGGGTTTCCTGCCTAAGGAGGGGGTTGAACTAGAAGATCTTCAAGGTCCCTTCCAACTCTGTTATTCTATATTCTGTAAGGTTCCTGTCCTGTCCTGTCCTGTCTTCTGGAAGAGTATTAGAGTGGGGGCCATTCTAATCTCTGGGGAATGATGTTCCTGACAGAGGGAGCTACCACGCAGAAGGGCCTTCTTCTGAGTCCCACCAGGTATATCTCCCTCAGGATGGGGATCGCAACATTCCCTGCCTTCCCGCTCTGATGGGTCGGGTAGATATGACCAGCAAAAGACTGTCCCTCAGATAACCTGGTCCCAAACCATTATATTATATTATCTAAAATGGCTGTGGAGCATTCACAGCCAAACTTCAACCTCAATTTACTATTCTTCTTTAGTTTATATTGGTTTGCTTTTATTTTGCTTTTTTTAAAAAATTGGCAATTTGACAAAACTCTTGGGAAAAAAAACCTTATAAACTACATCGTAGATAGGCACGGTTTTGTGCCTCCAAAAATTGTGTGTGGGTGTGTGTTTATTCACACACACACATACACACACAAACATAAACCCACACACATGGATATTTCATTCACCTTTCCTCATCCCAAACACAAATCCTTGCACACAATCATGCAACATACCCATGCACTCCATTATATTACTTGATGAACTGATGTTGGTTGCATGAGAATTAATATTGCCCCCCCCCTAAATTTCTAACTTGATTTGTTGACATTCATATAAAGTACTGTAATAGTCTTGCGTGGACTAGATAATAAAAACAAGTTACAGTTGTGTGACTGAGTGGAACTTTTCTTTGTTTTCTAAATCACTAAGTTTTATTTTGATTAAGATACTGTGTTTTATTACCTTTAAGGAAAAAGAAACATACTTCAAAATTAGTACGTTTGTAATAGGTTAAATACACCAATATCTGTATAGAAAAAGTTGTCTTCAGACTTGCATTTCATTTTATTAGATTTGAGATTTTTTGGCATGCAAATATAATGCAAATGGCAAAATCTACAATTATTCCCCCTCCTTCCTTTCTCCCTGTTCCTGATTTCTCCTTCATAGACCTCTGATTCTCCTGCTTAAATTGCCATTGAAGTAGGGATCAAACAAGGGGAGCTGGCTTTGTTTTCAGTTCTGCCAGTCTCAACTTTTGGCATTTGTCTGATGAGAACCATTTGCCTTTTTTAATCTCCATGGCACTCTTTTATAACTGCTGTTGCTTTCTTCTTTTCAGTTCAAGAATGAAAGTTAGGTTTGCTTCCTTCTTGCCTGAAAACACTCTCATTTAGCATTTCTGTTATTATCCCTCTCTTTTCTCACTTATGGTACCTGTCATTCGGTCTTCATCTTTGGAAGGCTCCTTCATGCATTCTTAACCAAGAACTGTATTGTATCGGTCTCTTCTGTATTTGCCTTTTTCTTTTCTTTTTATCAGGATGGATATGAGTCCTTCCCAGCCTATGGTTCTCCAGTAATGTTAGATCAGAACTTCCACAGTTCTCTCCCACATTATTATTTTTATTTATGTGTTTATTTGTAGAATTCAGGTTTCATTTTCCTTTCTGGAGCTCCAGATAACTTACAGAGTTTATCTCTCACCACTCAAGTTTATCTTAAGAAAGATCCTGTGAAGAAAATTTAAATGAGAACTCGTCATCCTCAGTGGGGAGCTTCATTGCTGATTGGGAGATTTTAATTTCAGGGCAAATCTATACCTTGTCCTTGCTCCAATCACTGGTATGGATCATCCTCCAGTTCTTGAGTACAGAAACTGATATAGTCATCCTCCACCCACTCCTAGCCCCATCACAACTAGCCCTCCTTCCATCTGCTGTTTCCAAGCAGCCCAATAACAGCTGCTTCTGTACTGAACTGCCAGACTTCTGTATGCTCTGGTGGTTGACAGCTTTTTAAAACAAAGTTGTGGTCCATTAAGTCAATGAGTTTTCCTCAATTTTGTGTTTTTCTATCTCTTATGGAAGCTCATAACTTCATTTAGCACTTATGTCTCTCTGTGGTTTTTTGTTTGTATCCAGGTTTGGTGAAGCATGTTCCTCTTGTTTTCTCATCACTTTCTCACAGTACTGCAAAACTTTCCTTTCTTTTGGATTTTTTTTCTAAAAAAAATATTTCAATTAGGCACATTGACATGAAATTTCAATACATGCCATTTTGATTATATGATGCACGACCATAAGTTCCCCTTGCTGCAAACTTTCCTTGGATCCATGGTAGAACATAAAAATGAAGGAACAATCTGTTCCCCCTTGCTTTCATTTTTCCAGAATTACAGTGACAAAGGAATAGTGGAAGAAGAGAAAGAACAAAATAAAAATAAAAATGGAGGGGGTCATTATTTTTGACATTAATGAAATATAGGAAAGAGTTGTGAAGGCATGCATGTATGAAAACATCTGGAAAATAAATTAAAAAAATTATGACTAGCGAGGAAGGACTAGTGAGGACTAGTGCATCTGGGAAAGCAAAGTAAAATGAGGACTAGTGTGGAACTCCCTTAATCAGGCACCAGGCTATTCACCCACTCCGAGGCCAGCCACAGATATTTGCCTTTCCTACATAGATGAAAGTGCTCAAAGAAGGGGAACAACCAATCAGAAATTGGAGACCAAATCTGACCTTGTGGTCAAACCATTGCAGTCCCGACTGGATTATTTAAAGTTGCCTTCAGGAATAATCAGGTGCTACAAAGGAGACATGATATGTGGAGTTGTCTTAATCTAATCAATCCTAGGGGACCCTTCTTTATTTCAAATGTTTGTAATTACAAATGTGCATATCAAATTGTACAAATTGTAAATTGATTAATATGCTCTTTATGGTTCTTTATATTCCATATAAATAGTATACAATATATGCCCATATATAGCATCTCCCAATCTGTGTCTTTCTAACTAGATGCAATATTTTCTAAATGTATCTCAGTAAAACTTTTGAACAATATTTTTAATTTGTGATAAATGGACAGGATAAATGTAGGATACAAGAGATATAGTGTAGTTAGGGTCGTGGAAGATGTGCAAGTATTAGATAAGTAAACACAGTAGCTCTGAAACAAAGATCCAACAAGTGATATATTGGTGAAAAATAATTGTTTCATATGGTTTCTGAAATTTGTCTTGCTTTATTTGTGCACACTACAATACAAAGTATTGTCATAAATATATTGTCTCGTGTGTGTATATGTTATATATATTGTATGTATGTATGTATACATATATATATGTGTACACACACACACACACACAGACACACACACACACACACACACTGTTTTCCCCAAAATTAGGGTCTTATTTTCTTTTGAAACCCCCCCCCCCCATAAGCACTTGGCCTTATTTTTTGGGCGGTCTTATTATTGTTGAGGTGTAGGAGGCAGCGAGCGTGATCATCTCATGGCTGCTGCTGTATTGTAATCTTTTCAGGGAGGACTTATTTTCAGGGGATGGCTTATTTTAGTACATGCACTCAAAAGGCCGACTGGGCTTATTATCTGGGGAAGTCTTATTTTCAGGGAAACAGGGTAGTATTTCCTCAAAAACACTTTTCTCTGGTTCTGTAAACTTAATTGCATTGATGGTTTCAGGTATTCCAAAGTTAATTACTTCTGATATGATTAAAAGAGGAGCCGCAGTGATTGATGTTGGTATCAACCATATTCATGATCCTGTCACTGGAAAGACAAAGTTAGTAGGAGATGTAGACTTTGAAGGTAAGCCAAATTCCTATGTTCTTAGACAGTGGTGGGATTCGATTTTTTTTACAACCGGTTCTGTGGGTGTGGCTTGGTGGGCGTGGCAGGGGAAGGATACTGTAAAATCTCCATTCCCTCCCCACTCCAGGAGAAAGTTACTGCAAAATCCCAATTTCCTCCCAATCAGCTGGGACTTGGGAGGCAGAGAATAGATGGGGGTGGGGCTACTCAGAGGGGGTATATACCGGTTCTCCAAACTATTTATTATTTACTTATTATTTATTAAATGTATTTATATGCCGCCCAATCCCGAAGGACTCCGGGCGGCTTACAAAAAATATAAGAAAAAAACACATAACGATAAAAGAAAACAATTTAAAAACAACAAACACCCTCATACATTCATTCTAGTTGGGGCTGGACCTCAACAGTGAGGTCAACAGCCCCAGGCCTGCCAGAACAGCCAAGTTTTTACAGAAGAATAACTCAAGTGATAGAAACTATATCTTAAAAAATTGTGTCATTCCATCAATTATGTTGGTGCCTAATGAAAATGGAAATGGCTGTATTTTTATCCTATATTTCATTAACCCTACTGCATTTGTTGATTTGATTTTTTTTCCATTTGGATTGAAGCAATGTTTTTGAAATTTAATGAAAATTCCTCATTTTCTGCAAATTTTGTAATAAGTAATTATAGCTTTGGTTTCAGGAAACTCAGCAAATAATATACTGTTTCCAGTGTCGATGAAGAAACAGGACCTGTAATTTATTTCAGATATTATACATCTGTAGTTAAAAAAAGAATTGAACCAATTCCTGGGCATATGAATAACAAACGAATACAATAGAAAGAGGCAATGGCATCCATAGGGGATGTTAAAGCAGGCAAGATGGTGACTGTGACTGAGCCTTGGCCCCTTTTTTTTAATACAAAAGCAGTAGGACTTATGATGCTACTTATGAATCATCAAGTTGCTTGTTTGACGCCTCTTGTGGATGCTGCTGAAAACAGATTATACGTGGTGACATAAATGTAAACCTGTGTTCATTAAACCTGGGATTAATAAACAACTATTCAGCTAGTGGGAGAAACCCTTGCATACTGATAAAGGAACCCTAATGTGTCTGAATCAAGCTTGACTTGACTTACAGTTTAATATAATTTCAACTGGTTTCTATTAATTCCTATTTTATTTGAGACTCTTTGTAACAAGAACCATGCTGGAACTGGAAAACCAGTGTTTTTATGTATCTTTTTAAAGAAATCCTGCTATTCAGCTACCTCTAGATGCTCCCAAAAAACAACCTATGAAAATATTATTGTCCATTGTTTGGGGGTGGGGATTACATTTGAATATACACATATATTAATACATGTTTTACACAGTTTTTTTTCTTTTTTTATATATCAGAAGTAAAGAAGAAAGCTAGTTTTATCACCCCTGTCCCAGGAGGGGTAGGACCGATGACAGTTGCCATGCTCTTGAAGAATACCTTAATTGCTGCAAAGAAATTGATTTGTTAAAATGTATAAATTGAAGTAATTCTATAGGTATATAAACATTTATTTTTGTTACAAATTTATTTATTAAATGTGTTTAATTATGTTAGATTATTAAGAAAAGATTTATTTCCAAATCTGTTACAAAAATGTATACTTGCAATGAACTGATTTGATTGATTTGAGGTTTGAATTGATGTAACTTCTATGCATAATCCGTCTAAATGTTTGGTTCCTGTTGGAGTTGTGCTGTTTTTCAAAGGCATGTTATCAACTGGATTTGAAGTTAAACCAAAACCTGGGTCTGAGTTTCAGATATACAGTATAATGCAACTCCAGCAGACAGTAATAAAGGGCTCATATTCCATTATGCACCTGGGTGTGGGGGCACTCAAATGAATGCTAAGAACTGTGATAGATGCTTAACAGGCATTAATTGGGAGTTTATCTCTGGAAACATGGGCTTTGTTGATAAATACAATATGTTCACAATTGCAAAAAAAAAATGTGTACAAATTTTAAGATGCTTTTGATCTAATTCTCAGATGTATATTTATATAAAAAAGGAAAATGTTATCCAAAGCAAATGTTTGTGTTTCCAAGCAGTTTTCATCTACCTCGAGTTGATTTTTTACAGCTGAGAACTAGACAGTGACCAAGCAAGTTAACTCTACTTAACTCACTTGAAGCATAATTTCCTTAGCAGAGCAAATGAGATTCTACCTAGGAGGCGCAACAAGGCTTGATTAGTGTTACAATGTGAATGAATATTTAGATAAGATAACCTGTGATTTTTGTAAATAAAGCATGTTGTAAAATGTTTGATCATATGTTATTAGGAACCCAATTAGCCACTTAGCTACACTTTTTTATTTGGTTGCCAGAATAGAGCTAAATTGGTTTTCTGCATATGAAAAATATAAATAAATATGTTTAAAATCCTCTCCTTTTTCTTAGTTATTACATTGATGTGTTTATTCTCGTTGTATTTCTTTGTCATTGTTTACTTTATTGTTCAATTATTTTACTGCTGTTTACATGCTTTTCATTTTTCTTTCTTTTTATTGTAAGCTGCCTAGAGTAGCCCCACAGCAAGGTAATGTTAGATAAATTTAATAAATAAATTAATAAATAGAATATGAGTCATTAAAATTTTTAAGAATTGAGATGGTAAAGCTTATTTATCATTTTTGTGCACTTAGACAGGCTTGGAACATTTAAAGAAAATCTGCAAATAATGATGACAATATGCCAGATTATAAATTCTGAGTTTGGGATATGATAATTTCATGCAATAATATTGTAGTCCTGAAATATTGCAGTCTTAAACTTGTTTTAAAATAAGAATGAAGTTATTTTTTTAGATATAAAGTATTTGGACTTTGAAGCATATTTCCATAGTTTAATTAACATTGTTCCTTAGAGGAGAGAAACTTTCTTATATGGAGGAAATGAATAATGTTATTTCAGCTATCATGGATGAAGCTGTCTCACTACAACAGGCTAAAACTAGGAGGCATGTAAAAGGGAAAGGCACACTCTGACTGAACACAACTTCTTCTGGTTGCCTGCTATAATTTTCTTGACATTGTTATGGAAATGTTTTTTCCCATTTATTTTTTTGTAGGCTGTCTTTTGAATTCCCAAAAAGTGCACACCCAACTCCTCTATACTAACCCTGCTTAGCTTCCCGGAAGTTTAAATATGTAATAGCAATACAAATTACAAACATGACTCTAATACATGATATGACTAATTTCTATAAATTGGTCTCCTGCTGAGTTTTTTGCCATAATCCATAGCTAGAGAGACTTTATTAACATGGTACTTTTATAATAATTATCTCATTGTATTTTCTCTTTAACTTCATATTTCCATGAGATCCTTAAACACAGACTTCTCATTCTTCATGTATTTCTAACTAAACCATTCACGTTTGGTTTGCAATGCCACTGTTTTCATAGATCAACTTTCATTCTTAGAACTGTGTCCTTAGAGGTACAACTATAGTTAAGAAGAAATTTTTTAAACAAGCGACCATATTCCAAGATAATAGATTTCTTTTTAAAAAATTGGTATAGTTATGCTAAAATATCAAGACTAGTGTAAAATGAGCAGTTCTTTCTCATTGGTAAATATTGACATCTTAGTGATACAAATGGCCAAAGAAAAAGTTGGAAAAGAGGATGGTATGGTATGGCTCTGGAAATTTGAATACATGTTTTACTAGAAGATAGTTTTGCCTTCCTTTTATTTAAAAAAATGATTAAGGATTCAAATATTTGTGGCTTAACTTAAAGATTAATTTAGGTTTTAGGTAACTAACATTTTGAAAATTAATAAATTGGAATAATTATTCTCAATTATTTGATGTGTTACTATAATACAAAGAAATTATGTCAATACTTATTTTTCTATGTGTCAATATTGGTAATTCAAATCAAACTTTTAAGTGATAGAAGAGCTTAATATAATTGATTAAATTCATTAAATTTCAAAATCCCTTTGATTCACTTTCATAAAATAGCATGTAGGTTCTTACAATAGTAACATCTATAAACCTGTATTTACAATACAATCGTATATCCACTTACCTTTGGTAAGTAATCTCATTTAATTAAAAAAAATCAGGGTTGAGGGGGAACGGATTGATTCCAGAAGTGAAAGAAGATCCAATTAAAAAGTCACACTTGACCTAATGGTTATCAATTAATCCTGATTTTAAGTGTTATTAGATATGCACTGTAGATGTCTGAGAATTATTGACAAAAGAAAATGGAATACACAAAAACACACAAACAACTTTGATAAGCAATTGTCCTGTTAAATGTCTTATGCAGAATCTATATATGGAAAGCTGTGGAGAGATGTAATTAAATAGCGATATCAGATCTGGGCTGAAAAGATCCAGAAAATGAGTAAATAGCAACAAAGAGGTACATAAAACCTTATCTAATGTTTATTCTTATTTTAGCAGCACAGATATGGTGTCTCTAATGTTGGTAGATTTGCGGAGCAAGGTTTCCGAAGATTCTCTATGCGACATAGAAAAATGAGATCATTCAGAGATACCAAATGTATTGATGATGCTGAGACACACCCTCCCAATTCTCCACTAATGCACCAGCATAATAAAATAAGAGTGTGGCAGGCCAAAGATCCAGAAAGGAATATGACTGCAGGCCTGACTTATGCAATTTTAAAGCTGGCTTTGCTGGGGAGAAATGACACATCATCCTACTTGATTGGGCGGAGGGGGGGAGTCCAGTTGCCTTTTGAAAAAGTATCTTTGGGACATCCTACTTGATGGACACTAGAGGGAAGCAAATAACTGTTATTCTGTTTTGGTTTCTTCAAGTCAGGTTTTATTTGCACTCCTGATGACAAAGTCTTGCATTTTTCTTGGCAAGATTTTGGATGCGGTTTGCACTTGCCTCTTTCCTAGGGCTGAAAGAGAATGAAGAATACTAGATCAAAGCCACCCAGCTGACCTTGTGGCTAGTGGCACTAGAGTCCATGATCTCATAGTTTCTGTCCTGGCACCTTAACCATTAGAAGGACTTGCTCTACAATGCAGTCTTAGTGCCGTGATGCCGAACCTATGGCTCAAGTCCCCAAAATGGCATGCAGAGCCATGTTGTATGGCACATGCAGCATCGCCCGTTTCTCTTCAAGGTTTCTGGCAAACACATGTGACAACCAGCTGGTCTTTGCGTGCGGCAGTGCCGGAAACCAGAAGAGCGGGTCTTCCATTTTCCGGTATGAGCATGCACATCAGCCAGCTGTTTGTCATGTGGCAATAACTGGAAGACTTGCTGGTCAATGTGCATATGCACGCCAGAAACCAGAAGTACATTTTCCAGCGCGCTTATGTCCCATGGGCAACCCCTCTTTATGGTTGTGGCGCATACACGCAAAGTGCTTCCTTTCTAGCACTTGGTGCCAAAAAGGTTCGCCATTACTGTCTTAGTACATCCTTTTTTTGCCCTCTAGCAGTCATACATATTTTAGCAATCCAAATGTGCAATACCCAATAATGGATTAAACAATCTTTAGGTTTATGGGCAGGTGATACATAACACCATTAAAAGGATACCCACCTGGTTTTAAACAGTGGCTGATATCTGATCCAGATTTGTGCAACTGATAACTGTAATTATCACCTATTTGTATATTTCCTCAGCCCTAACTAAGTCATTCATTATTACAATTTTATCAGCAAATAGTGCTAAATACTTATTGCTATACTGGGCTTTTCCTGGCTAAGTCAGAACTTTAAATAAAAATCTGGGCGATAATGAACAGAATGTAACACTAGAGGTGACTGTTTAGCCAGAATCAACATCAGCAGTACTAGGAATGATGATATCTAGCAGCCTCATTCTTATAGTATATGCTTAACTAATATTATGGTTTAAGATCTGCTTGTTATGTGAAAACGGTGTCTTAGATAAGGGTAATTTTAACACAATCATTTCTCCAAATGCCACAACTCTCAATCTTGGCAACTTTAAATTTTATGGACTTTAACTCGCAGAACTCCCCGGGCAATAGGATTTGATTCCCATGTTTGCCCAACTTGAAGTCTGTACATCTTAAGTTGATCAAGATTGAGAAACCTTACTGGAGCATTAACCCTTCCTGGTGGTAGCCAGTGAAAAAAAATCCTAGAAAGACCATACTTATCTAGGAATGCCATATATATCTCCTCTTTGCCTCTGTCCTGCAGCTGCATTGGGAGTGTGCAAAAAGGAAATAAAGCATTTGAATTTTGATCACCTGACTTTCCCTGCCTCCCTCTTTCTCTGTCTCTCTCTTTCTCTCATTAGGTTGTACTATATGTCATTTCATATTTTCATCACTGTTAATTTGGTACAACAATAGTTGCGTGATTATAGAAAGCTCAATGTAGGCAAGTTGGCAAATCACCTAGGTTCAAAATTACATTTCTTCCAATACAGTTTTCTTCATTTTCAGAAAATGTTTTTTTCATTTTCTTGTGATTACAGAAATCAATGTGATATGCTTGCCAGTGCCTTATATATGTAGATGTCTATGGAGATTCTCAGTCATCCGGGTCATGTTTGTCCCAAAGGTGCTTTTTCCAATGGCAATTGGACTTTCTGGTTTTTCTTTGAAGATGTCTTACTTCTTGGATGAGTCCAGATGCCTTTTAAAAAAGCACCTTTGGAACTTATATGTGCACAATAATTTTTGTTGGCTAGAATGCCATTTCATTCATACTGTATCAACTTCTGCAGCTGCCGAAAGACCACATCTTTCCACATAGTATATTATGAAGATACACCACCATGAAGCTCTTGTGCTTAATTAGTTAATGGATATAGAATGACTAATTAACAAAGAAACATGAATATTTGTTGACTTCAGTGTTTACAGATGAGTGGCTCATTGAATTCCTCTCATCCACCTTAAATTATTTTTGCAGAGTATTGTTGAAAGATCTTACAGCTTATGAGGTTTTGATCTTGTAGTAGAGTATTTTCTACTCTGATTGGAAGAGGCTGCAATAGAGTTAAGCTAGTAACAACTGCAATTGTTAAGTTAATAACATGGTTGTTAAGTGAATTTGGTTTTTCCATTCTCTTTGCTTGTCAGAAGGTCTCCTGGGACACAAGGGTTCATAAAATAAAATAAAATGAATCAGTTGCCAAGCGTCTGAATTTTGATCATGGGACCATCAGGATGCTGCTACAGCTGTAAGTGTGATAAATAGTCATAAATCATTTTTTTCTGTACCATTGTATCTTTGATCAATCACAAAATTAACTGTTATAAGTTGAGGACTACCTGTACAGCATGCAGAATACTCAGCTTTCATGTGTGCATGCTAAGTAAGTTTTCCAACTCTTGAGTTTTCCAACTCAAGAATGCGGAATCATTGAA